AAAAAACGAGATTCAGAAGAATATAAGTACCTTGATCCGGATGGTACTCACAGAACTCAAAAACCTTTACATCCTTACGATCAGGTAAATCAAGTCCAAAATGAATATTTTAATATCTTAAAATAATTAATTTATTCGTTTTATGATCCTTTAGGAACACGAAAAAGAGCTTGTGAGATCGATATTTGAATATTTACGTAGGGGTCAATTTGACGATGCAATTGATATTAGCGACAAAAACGGCCATTACTGGCGATCTGCTATTTTGAGCGGAATTATATTATACGATGAAAAAGTTGACGGTAATGTAAAGATCCGAATCATTTATTCATTTATCCGAGTTTGATTATCATTTTTTATGAAAATTTGATCTTTAGTAGGGAATAATATGTAAAGTGAAAATAATCATTTCATAGGCTTACATATTAGTAAAATTGGTTGTAAATTTCAAGCTGTGAATATGGATCGTGTTACCTCAAATGGTTCAAAGAATTTATGATAACTTAAATAATTCAAAATATTATTATATTTGTATTGGTAACTAATTTATATAATTTGCGTTTAAAGAAAATGGAAATGTGACGACAATTGGAAACGTTAATCGCCAAATATGGCGCGGAACGTGTTACCATTGTGCTAATCAAGTAAATGTTTCTAATGTTTGTGAATTTTACCATATTTATTTTTTAAACTTTGTTTTTAATGTGTTTATCTTATAGGAGAAACTCGATGTATACGATAGAGCAATATATGGTGTTCTTAGTGGGAACTATGAAAGTGTAAATAAATTATAAGTACATTTCATGGCCACCAGAAATTATTATGCAAATTGTATAATTGAAATAATTTTCATACTTTTAGATTATTCCTATTTGTCGAACTTGGGAAGATTATGTTTGGGCCTATTATAATAGCCTAATTGAGTGTCAACAAGAAGAGGTGTGTCACCGAATTAAATCTCTTATATTATAATGTTTTAATTGATTGGCAATGGCATATATATTTCTTATTTATTTATTTAAAGTATTTTAGTAAGCATGCTCGGCATATGGGAGTTAATGATGATGATGATTTACCAATAAATATCAAGGTTTTAACACCAAAAGAAATATTTGAGTTAGTGGAATCAAAAAGAGTTGATAGGTAAGCAATCTTTATGTTTAAACAACTTAAGGATAGTGCACGATTTAACTACCCATATATATTAAAAAAATTTTTTTTTAATGACTTTTAGTAGGGATTTTGATCTTGAGAAGTTCCACATTATTCAAAAGTTGATTATTTTGAACGATTCAAAAGAAATGGTTAAACAATTAAAAGTAGAAATAATTGATAAACGATTAAGACGTGAAGAGTATATATAATATTTTCGAAAAATCCTATCTTTTGATAAATTTTTATATTTATTAATTATATTTGTAATTTTTAGTGAAATTGCTTATGTTCATTTCCTTCGCCTTGCGACACATTTAATTTTGTATTTACGGGATTTGATGCTTTCAACCCCTGATAAGGAATCGGATGATATTATCAAATTATATACTGAACTATTGATAGAGTGTCATCAGGTACATTTTATAATTATAATATCTGAAATATTATAATAAAAATAATTAACCATAGATTAAAATACATAGAATAAACTTATTGCGTTGTATGCATCAAAATTACCGAGAGAGATATCTATTGAAATTTATGCCTCGTTTTTAAAAGGTAAATTACCCATATATCTGTTTATTATGCTTAACAAGCAATCTAACTTAAAATGTTTATGTACTTGTAATATTAGGTGTAACGTCAAGTTGCACAGAGAGACGTAAACTTTTCACTTTGGCGGAACAGTATGGTCTCAATGTTGTCGCTATTACTCGAAAAACTTTTGAATTAATATTTAAAGAGATCGAAAGTCCAGTATGTAATAATTTATTTTTATTTCTGATCAATGGATGACATATTTTATCAATTAATTGAATCAATCTTAATTCAGGATAGATATGGTCCTGTATCTGATATCAGGATAATAACTTTGCAAGAACCTGTCAACGCAGTTGAGGAAATACAAATTCGTGCACTGGAATGGTTAACGTTTAGCAAAGAGCAACATCGTGAAGCTCTAAAGTCAGCGAATGCTTTATGCAGAATATTTCTCGGTAATTTATATTTTCAAACGATTACTTTCAATACTACTACTATATTTATGAAATATAATGAATTATTTATAAAATATTTAGCTTCTGGAAGAATGAATGTAGCGGGTAAGATTATAATGGAAATGAAATATACAAAATCGCCTTTATCAGCTATACGCTATGTGAAACCCGATGACGATGAAGATGAGATTGATACTGTATTCATCGAACATCAGAATTATTGCACCATGATCGAATATTATAACAAATATGAGGCTTGGTGGAAAACATGGAAATCGAAACCTGAAAAGTAATTAATGTCTCTGCTTTAAATTTTCTTATTTACATTTTGATTGATTGATTAAAAAATTTTTTTTTTATTCTAACAAAATTCAAAAAGACCTAGCTCGAAAGAGTTGAATGAATGGACCAAAAATATTAAAGTATGATTAAAAACGTTTCTGCCTTTTAATACCATTAATAGGAATTAATCTTTTATTTGTGATCATTATTAGGATATTACGAATTCTTTGGATATTCGTTTTCATAAATTTTTAGATTCGTATGTTATTGATTTCTTAAGAGATACAAAGACCATGGTGACTGAAGAAGGTAATAATCGATCCTAAATGTTGTCATGGTATTTAATGAATTAACGCGTTGCAACTTTTTTTTGAAGATGAAATTCGGATACGTGAATTGGAACGAGTAATGGATATCTATATCCCAAATGCAGTTCTCCGACATCATAAAGTATTGTATGAAACTCGTGACATCCTTCCGGCGTGCGTATTTATTTAATATACTTTTTTTTTTTTTGCGTATTAAATGTAAATATAATGTTGTTATTATTTATATAATAGAAATTTGGAAGAAAGCTTTAACTTAGCCAACTTGGTGGTTGAAGAAAATGCTGATCTCACTATACATTTTCGACGTTCGAAAAAACTACCATTGCTAATAATGTCATTGCGTGATTCTTATCTCGAAATACTAAAGAAAAACCCCAAAGATATTACAAACGTTTTACACGTTGATTAAAACTCAACTAGATTAATAATAACTCAAAGTTAATATCTATTCACACATAATTGTTATTAGAGTAACAGTAATATTATTCATTTTTTTTTAAAAAAAAAAAAACCTATAGATGATAATAGCTTTATAAATAAATTTATATTGTTGAAATTTCCAAAAGAAAATTAGAGTTTAATTTTTATTTTTATTTTTATTATTAATTTGCGCCCCATAATTAATTAAAAAAGTTGATTTGAATGACTAAAGTTGAGATGCCATTTGCTGACAGGCTTTGAGATTCTCTAGATAAAATTGACAGAGACCGATATCGTGATTATTAGATTCCAAGCATTTTGTCAAAGATTTGGCATCATTTTCACATGAGACTCCCCCATAATTCTCATTTTGGAACGATTGATATTGAGGTTGCTATAAAATAAAATGTTTTAGTTAATTTATTCAAAATTAGCCAAAATGAAAGTTGTATATAATTTTATTTTACCTCAGATTGTGTTTGAGGAGTGTATTGTTGTTGAGAATCTGGTGTTTCAGCTGACCCACTTCCTGAAAATAAGCCAGTAATACCATGACCCTATTTTGATATAGTTAAGTTAATACTATTATTAATTATCATGAAAAAAAAAAAAAAAAAAGGCGAACAGAAAATTTACTTACAATGCTGTGTCCAACAGCTACACCGGCAGCAGTTGATGCCATCTAGTTACATATATTGTATATGGTTATTATGGTCATGAAAAGAATAACAACAAACCATTTCTATTGAAATTACCTGTCCAAACAAACCCGGTGATCTTTGTTCCGCTAAACTAGTTGGTTGTTTAGGTGGAACAGCTGGAACATTAACATTATTTTGTTTTGTTGGTGCTGATAATGTTGAAGCAGGTCTACTGTTTCGTTGCTCAGTAGAAGAAGGTCTTGCGGCGGGTCTGGCAGCGGGTCTGGCAGCAGACTTACGGCGAGCCATTTTTACGAAATTTTTTTCAAAAAAAAAGAGAAAATTTTTTTTATCAGAATTTTGTATTAGGTAATAAATAGATTGCGACGATCCATTTTTTTTTTTTTTTTTGTTTCACAAATATAATTGATCATTTGATGATTTGATATTTAATAATGATTTTATCTACTTGCTAGATCTTTCGAAGTTTTAATTTAAATCTTGTAATCTTTTTAAAATAAAATAATCAACTAATAATCATTAACAAAAAATCAATTTGATCGGTCAGCAGTTGGGCCTTTGACCGACCGACCGGTTAACTGACCGATTTTATCTGACCGGGTTGACCGACCGGTTAATAGGAATATAATTGAGCAGTTTTGGCTTAATTGAAGTTTTAATTTAGTAAAATATTATAATTTTGATTGTTGCTTTTAACAATTCTAGCATGGCATTTATTAAAACTACTTTGTCATTTTATTTATAGCGCAGCATTATCGCGAACTTTAATTATTTATTTTCAAAATTTCAAAAATTTTAATTATATATAAGTGTTTTTACTATTTTAAAACATGATTATTCAAACTCAAGTCGGTCTGTCAACCGGTCGCTCAGAAGCATTTGACCGACCGATATCACAACATCTAATTTAATCCTACAGGTTTGTTAAAGAAATTAAGAATACAAAATAAACTTCTCCCAAAAAAATACAAATTAATTATTATTAAAATCTTAAAGATTTTAAGTAGTTTCCCAACTTCTTGATTTTGATCTTGGTAAGATCATTGTGGATAATTATATTGAGCCTATTCAAACGGTTAAATTTTGACTTTTATATTATTTTATTGTTACAAACAATAAGAGAAAAAGTCAAAAAAAGTCAATTTGAAAAGGCTCATTTACGGCTGCATTATGGTCGGTTGAATCTGAATTTTGATTGCCCACTTGGTATCGTTATTCGGCCTCATTTTCATCATAGAAATGGTCGACAAAGCAGTGGTAATTATATCATGGATAAGATTTTTAGATTCTCTAATTTCGATTGTATAATGTGATAAATAATCGTGGAAAGCAGCTGTCTTAACTATTGTAATAATTGATTGGTTATTCGAGGGTTAATTAGTTTCAAACATAGTTAAAAAATTAAAAGTTATAAGTACCGTACCTTGATGTAGTTTGATATGAATTTTAAATTTTCTAGTTATTTTTTCCAGAAAAATACCTTCTATGATGAGAAGTTCGTTAATTCCTTGTATCTTGTAATCACTTTTTGTGGTTATTCTAGGAGTTAACAACATCTCAAAGATATCACTAAATAAAAGTAAAAAATTTAGTCATATAAAAAATATATATATAATTTTAACTAACTAGAGATACTCACTCCTTTTCGTAGATCCTATATGGTACTTTCTGATTTCCGGTGTTTTCATTAAGACATAATCGATTCCTCCTCCAGAATCAGTAGACCTTCTCAAAGAAACCATAATTACGGAAACGATCACTTCCGACTATTACAGTCCCATGGAAGAGTCATTTCCACAATTTACACTAAATTATATACTTACCTTAACTCATTCTAAAAAGTATTTTTTTGTGAAGAAAAAAATGATAAGGTTCATATATGGAGAGAAAAATAGTAAATGGTTATAGTTGCCTGGCAAACCCATGATAAAAAATAAAAAAATAAAAAACCTAGAGTTGAACGGATTATCACCCAACCAATTTTTCGTCAGCAGTAGATCATTACTAAATTAAGTAATGTGATATATTGAAATTCTTAACACGAGTTTCGTGAAATATCGCGTTTAACTAATTAACTTAGCAGAAATGAACACCGCAATTAGAGGGCTTCAACTTGAGTTCGAAAAAGCGAGTACAGGTGACTTTAAATAAGTTCTTTCTGGTTCTTAAATACGCGTTCCTTGTAAGATAACTCGCATTCAATTTTTAGAGCTCGACTTTATTGAAACCAAGGTCAAATTAGAATTTGTTCGAAAATATGAAATTGAACGTCATGCACCAATAAACCCATATAAGGCTTTATCTAAAATGAAAAAATTAACAAAGGATTTGGAACTGCTAAGAATTGAAAGTGATCGAGTAATAGTTGCGAAACAGGTATTTATTTAACATTTTTTCCTTTCCATAGTAGAAACTAATATCAATCTTTTGTAATTTAAGGAATTTATCCGCGATATGAACAATTTAATAGCGGTAAATATGGAAATGTATGACAAGATACGACGTCAAGTTGGTTTACAGGTAACATCCTATATAATATCAATAAAAAAGTTTCGTAATTAGTATACCCAGTATAACTCGGAAACTTTGATTTTTTATTTTATTTTTTTTTTGAAATTAATGGTTTTTTTTCCCTCAATTTAATTTTAAATTTAGCCTGATTTAAAAACTGAATCTGCCTTAAATAATTATAATTTAGTAGCAAATTCTTGGAAGGAAGATATGAATGATTATAAAAGTTCGGTTTAATTAGTTTAAATTTTACATGGAAAAGAACCCATTTAAAATTCAATTTTTTTTTTATTAATAAAGTATATTTCAAACCTTATAATTCCTGCTATTCACATCAAGGAATTTCTTTTTTTTTTTAGAAACAGGAGTGGGAATGATATTGGGATATTTCATTCGGAAATCTGGTGGATAGAGATAGCAATATGATAACATTAGGTGTCTAACTTGTTAAGAAAGACAATAACATTGCCTTCTTTGTTTTTGAAAAAAAGGAAGTAAAATATTGAATTTACTAGGAATATCAAGCTTTTGCTAAAAGCTTCTATAAATTGGAAGATTATAAAGCAGCAATTGTTGGTTGATGTATAATCATAAGTGATAAAAAAGGATTTGTTATCTACTCTAAAAATATAATAATTATCTTTAATCCTTGTATAAGCATTTTAACTTTTTACTTCGTTTACTAGACAGTGAAGAAATTAATGGTTACATGAAATCCTGTGATACTATAATACTCCGACTTAATTTGGTCAGATTCTTACTACCAAAATTAACTTTATCACGAAAAAAAAAAAAAAAAAAAAAAAAAAGGTACTGCGCCACAACTTGTTCGGTAAATAAAAATGTGATTAAATGTTTGTGATGATCAGTCGATCATTATTAAAATGATATATTGACGCGTCTTTTTTTCCGCTAAAATTTAGAAAAATGTTGCAAGCAACCATTACTGATCACCTTTTGCTTGAAGAACTTCCGCCACTCGTAATTTCTTTTCTTTCGGATTATCCTCCTTCTGAAAGATGCCTTGTTGCGAAGAAACTTTTGGTGTATGCTGTTAAAAAGCTAGAGGTTTGTGAAAGAAACAACAATGTACCTTACATTTCATACATATTTCTTATATTTGTTGTGGTTCAGCAAAGGTCGGAAAGGCAACAAAACCCAACTAGGCAATATTACCAACTACCCACTTGGTGGGCTCCTGATCATAAAGAAAACAAAAGAAAGGATAAAAAGCATTCAACATTACCAATAGAGGAGCAGCGTGTGTATCATGTCCCTTTTATCGTTTTGTTTCATTTAAGTGCATTTCAATACGAATCGATGATAATCAATTAGTTTCGAGAAGGATGAATGACGGAATGACTCAGACATCTGATGCTTACATTCGTGCATCTGAAAAGGTGTCCAAAGGTACTCGTGGATATCAAAATTTTATTGCAAGTAAAAGTATCACAGTATTTGAACCAAAAGTTTGTTTTTTTAGGGAACGGCACTCTTAAGTCGAATGGCTCAAAATTGTATTTATGAAAATATGATTGATTCAGTGTTTAACTCCAAGATTATTTTATTTACAACAAATGATCAATTTATTTCCAAGTGAAAAGAAAAGATTTATTCCAATCTGCTCGTCCTCCGAGCCTTCAAACCATGATATCATACCATCAGAAAATGAAGACGACGTTAAAAATTATAATATGCGCAATAAGGACCCTTTCTTTGTTGCTTCAACAAAAAAACCAACAACATATGAACATCTAAAGAAGCCACAACGTAATTTATTAATATAATTAATATAGGTAGTATACTTGACCTGTTCATAATGATTATACCTTTTTTTTTTTTATAGAGACAAAGGATATTAGACATCCGCTCCGAACGCGTCAGACATCAACCCAAGCTAACACTGCCAAGCCAAGTATTAAAGGTATTAAAACAGGCAAATGTTTTAGTAACACAGGTGATTATCGCAAAAAACATATGCACTGTATTTATTATTTATCTTTAAGGATAAAATTTCTTATACCCTTATAGATAATCATCAACCGGAACATACGTCAAAACATAAGCAGATTGCTAAACTACAATCTTCAAGTAAAAGTTCTCCGAAGGATAATATTAGAGGTGAGTAACATCATTCAACTGATCATTCAGATAATACTCATCAAACTACTTAATGTGAAAGTCGTTTAAAGCTAGATCTAAGATTAGATCGAAGAACATAGCCGAGATTGCTGATGAGTTTCTTGAAAGTAATTTTATGGCTTATATTGAACCTCCACATAATAAAGATGATAGCTTAGAGAATAATGAAGATTTGGAAGAAATCATTTATAAAGCTAGACAAAAGACATCTGTGTAAATTTGATTTCTGTACTTAATTAAGTATAAAAAAGTAGTTGGTTATTATCCAATATATACAACTTTAATAAAATGAATGATCTAATTAATTATTTGAAGCTAACTCATGTGGTGACAGGCGCGACAATTTTTTTTTTAATTTTGTAAATATTAACGAGATTTTAATTTTACAAGCTTTATTTGCGCTCCAAATTTACATTCGAAATCTTATTTTGCAGATTTTAAATGATAAACTTTATTGATATAAATAAAGACGACGATTAAAAATATAGCACTTGTTCGCTACCAGCATAATAAATACTAGTACCCAGGTTGCACGACGAGGACGTCAGTACTAATCGCAACCCAAAAAAAATGGAGCTTCTCAACCGAGAGAGCCTTTGGGTTTCTATTTAATGCCTTTATTTTTTTATATTTTATTTTTATACCCCTCTTTCATGCCCCAAGTTTTCCTTCTTGGCGGTTTGATACCCCAGTTCTGTCCTTCTGGACGTTTGTAACCAGTTATCGGTTCTGGAGTTTGGTAACCAGTTTCTTTCTGGTCGAAGTTCTCTGCTGAAAAGAAAAATGCATAACCGGAATCACGTACAGAACCATTAGACCTTGCCAAAGAACTTCTCGTTTTATTTATATAAATGGGGTGAAGAAGGGGACACAAAAACAGAATGTGCTTGCGAAAGACTGTGTTCGCGAGATGGGTAAAAAAATTTGTAAAAACCCAATATATGTATATCTCTATAACACGTTGAAGCTTTCCAATTCAGGAAAGATGATGATCATTTCACATGACCAATCAATCAGTTGTGTATGACGTATTTAAGATTTGTCGAATAGATAAGATCATATAGACCAATCTTACTCAGAAATGCATAGAATATTAGAATTTTATTCAGGAATTGGAGGGATGGTAAAAAAAATCACTTTTTAACAAAAAAATTCATGCATGTTATGGTAAAATCAAAAGCTCAATTCTTTTTAAAATACAAATTTAGCAATATGCCTTTCAATTATCAAATAATTCGGGTGATATCCTTGCAGCATTTGATATCAATACGGTAGCGAATTCGGTATATAAACATAACCTCGAAAAGTTCAAGAAAAAATCAATCATACAGCAGGTAACCCCTCCTTTAATTAACTCATCCTTTACTTGATGAAGATGAATTAACCAAATTTTTTTTATTTTTTCGCTTTCGTTTAGAAAAGTATCGAATCATTATCTATAAGCTATTATGATTCGTTTAACGCGAATGTATGGTTAATGTCACCACCATGTCAACCATACACTAGAACAGGTTTACATAAAGGTTCATCTGATCTACGGGCGAAATCCTTTCTTTTTTTGATTGATATGTTGTCAAAGATGTCTTCTCCTCCTACTTATATTTTGATTGAAAATGTTAAAGGATTCGAAGTAGGTAATTTAAAAAAGAAATGTCTTAATCTAAATGCGATTTAATCAGTACTTAATGCGACATGCTTACAACCTTTTTTTTTTTCTTTTACATTTTCATAGGAATCTGATACTAGAAATACCCTTGTAACTCAATTAAAGAATTGTAATTATAATTATCAAGAACTTTTTATTACACCAGTTCAATTAGGAATTCCAAATTCGAGACTTCGATACTACATGCTGGTAAATCCACATCATTAAAGTTCTTCTGGAATAAGCATATTTTAAAAAATAGGTCGATATTTAAATTAAATTTGATGTAGGCAAAGAAACAACCTCTTATCCTCAAAGAATCGGATCGTTCAAAGATTTTTTACCATATTCCTTGCTCTTCATACAATCAACCATTATCTTCTGATTTAATAATTAGACCTATTGATGATTTCTTACATGATGATGTGAATTACGAGAAATATTCCGTTCCTAACGAGGTAATCTAAATAATTTATCATTTACGATTTTATGTGATATATCTCCTATGAACGATGTTGACCTTTTTATGTGATTTATAATTCCCAGACTTTGATTAAATATGGAAAGTTGTTTGGTAAGTTAAAAAAAATTGATCCTATAAATGATATATTACCTGAAAATTTTTGACTTTTCGTTTATGTAGATATAGTTAAACCATCTTCGCGTCGTAGTTGCTGCTTTACCAAAGGTAAATCACTACTGATTAAATGCGACGAAGTAACTGATTTATAAAGTTTTTTCGCGAACAACAATTAAATATAAACTTTTTTTCAAACTATTTGATATTACTAGGATATTATCATTACGTAGAGGCAACAGGTTCGATCATACAATTATCCGAAGATTTAGATGTAAGTTATCAGCAAAGGACTTTTTCTATTATAAAATCCATTTTTTTCTCACTTGACAGTTCATTTTACAGTCAGATAAAGTTTTCAATAAAGTTGAACGAAAAGGATCAATCTTGGGACAAGAAAACATTGATTTAATTCCACGATTAAAGTTAAGATATTTCACCGAAAACGAAATTGCTTCTATTATGGGATTTCCGAAAGAATTTTCATTCCCTGATGAAATTACTTTAAAACAAAGATATCGAGTTTTAGGGAATAGCATTAACGTTATAGTTGTTTCCGAATTAATAAAATATTTATTGTCGGATTAAAAGAAAACCTTGCTTATATCTTCACTCTCGTTATGATTTCTTTTTACATCATTAATATTAGTTAGTTATTATAAAGGACGATGATATTGGGTTTTTTATGATCTGGATTCATTCTTATATTAGAAAAAATTCTTCATTATCATCCTTGTTTTTTTGAATAATTCATTTTATTCCATTGCTAGTTCCATTATAATTTTTTGGTTTTGTTGAATTAGAGTTGACCTTTTTGGATCGTGTGATATATAAAACTTAATTATTTATAATGAGCGAACAAATAGAATGAAAGAGTCTGACACATACCATCTCTATTACCAACTGATTCGTTGTTTTCTCTCGTCCTCAATGTCTAAGAATTCTAGTATCTTTATAGATTTGGTAATTTTTGATAATGATCATGTGATACATAAATATCTTTACATTAAAATCTTTTTGATTGTTTTGTTAATTTAACGTACAGAAGGACTACCGTTATTTTGATGATTAGGGGTACCAACTCCACTACCGCCACCACCATTGGTTTTTCTTTGAGCGATCTTTTTCTTTATATAACTCCTAACATGCTCATGTCCTTCCTCAGTTACACTAAACATCCGCTTTCTTTCGTTAAACCAAATTACAAATCCATGATTTGTTGCATATTTCAATACCATCTCATAATCTCCTTGATTTCGAAATTCTTTGTATAAATAACCTACAACAAGAAAAAGAATTAATCGCTCTTTTTTTTTTAAAAAAAAGTAATGTTTGTACGTACCTTCAGTCGCTTCTAACCTATTACGCTCGATTTCCCATAATCGAATTTGATCCACGACTGTTGGCGGTAATAAAGGAATTCGTTTCTTCATTTGTGGGTGTGCATGACTGGATAAATATGAAATTATCTAGTTACATTTTTTTTTAAGAAACAAAATATCCGTCAATCTATGTTATTTTGCGATAATAAAGGATAAACGTGTCTTAAAGACCAAGATTTTCTTTTGTACCTGATTTGCGGTGATGCCATGCTTTAATGCCTTCCTGACGCTATCACGTGTAATCAATGCATAGACCATATTTGCAAATCTAGTTTGAAGTTCACAAAACAGTCTTAGCACTGAAATTTGTAATTTGGATTCTTTGGTGGGGTGAAAAGAAAATTTTAATCAAATAAAAGATCGTAATCATCAAGGACAACTTTAAAACTACTCACTACAATTTACCTGTATACGCGTAAAGTTTATAATTGGTTTCAATGATAATAAATCCTTGTTCCGTGGCTCCGTCTTCACCAGTCGTTGTACTTGCACTAGATGATACAGCTGATGAAACTACGGCAGAATTACCGGATGTTAACGTAGTTGCAAGTCTGGTTGGATAATATCTTGATGATCCTTTCTACACAATTTTAGGAATATTAAAATATTTAACTAAAAAGGAACGCGTAATAAATTGAGTAGTAAGTAAGTAATATGGTCAACTCTCGATATACCACTTCATAATACATCATAGAACGTTGTTAGTGAAATCCTCTATATAACCAAAGATCCTGGTCCTTAAAGGTGACTCGGTATATCGAGAAGATACTGTACCTTTCTACGGTATGCAAGGCCGAAATTAGCTAAATCATCGAGCAATTGTTTTTGAGTATCAGTTAATCCTTTAACCGAATAATCCTAAAAACGAATACAAATCCTATCAAAACGTGCTCTTACGACAAAACAATTCATTTCTAATTAAAATAATGAATCATATTTGCATACCATCCCTAATTCTAAACTTCCCAACATAAAAAAGAAATTTAATACTTCCACTACGTTCATCTGTAACAGCTAAACGAAATTTAAATAATTTTAAAACTTTAAAAAAAAATAATCTTCCTTTTAATTAAAAAAAAAAAAAGAATGCTTTCGTTTTACCTCATCAGCAATATCTAAATATTGGATTAAAAACGCCCATACTTGTGTATTAACATCTTGTAATAAAAATTGGAATCCTTTATTTGTAATCACAAGTTTGTCTTTCCTATTACGAAAAAATTCGATTTAGAAATTTTCATCAAAAGAAAAAAAGTTTTTTCTTGGTTACTTTATTTACCCTTCTTTCATTAACTTAGCCCTAGTAACAACCTTAAGTACAGCGGCGCTAGGCTGGCTCATACTCTCAGTTCCTACCATAAAGTGTAAGATTTCCTCCCATTGTTTCATTGCATGTCTATCCAAGAATGCTATGTCCGGCCTATCGCTTGCCGGTTTTTTACATGGTACTCCAAAACTTTGATGGCTTCCTCTTTTTTGGGGGAAAATAAATTACTTTGCGAAAACCAATTAAAATAAAATAGAAGCTTAAAGAAATAACTATTTACCCTCCTGTTAAACAATCTCGAAAACGTTCTCGAAATTCACTATTCATTTGTATATACCCATATTGATCGATTGTCATTATACTTAATTTCGATAATTTCTCTAACGCCTCATCAAATTTACTTTATAAAAATGAAAAGTTAATTAGAATAAAAAAAAGGACACCTCAAAAAATAAAAATAAAAAAATTTTAACATATACGTTAAAGCAGCTTCTTCATTTTTCACCCATAACCTTAAATCCGATTTTGTTAAATTAACAGGACTATTAATAGGTTGTGTGAATAATAATGACATTACAAATTGTCTTGCTAATGACGGTAAAAGTCTTTTAGATTTTTAATTTAATAAAATAGTAATTATGATTAAGTGAAATATTTTATTTTATTTTTTTTTTTTTATTTAATCAAATTCCAAAGTATCGAATAGAAGAGCGAAAAGAAATAAAAGTCAGTAAGTAAAGGATTAAATTCAACTTTTTTAGATAAAATAAACAATCTCCCCTCTCTCTTTACTTAAAAATTCTACTATATAAATGTTTCCTTCAAGAAAAACTTCCATTGTAAAAATTTGAGAATCATCATCGATCAAAATCATTCTCTTTCACACCTCTAATATAAGAAAACTAACAATAAACTAATTACATCTTGATATATCACATCCGTAAATCATCTTATTCCAGTTTTCTTAAACTGGAATAAATTTTGACTCTTCGAATATTTCCTCACTCTTGTACTTTAAATTACACCACATAAACAATTTAATTTAAATAAAATAAGTACAGACCTGAAGATAGCTAAGCAAGTAGCTGGTTCTTTATAAAGCTGGTCAAGTGTATATCTGGGTAAAGCTTCAAGACATTCATAGATGTTTGTTTTAAAATGTGTTACTGCTGTTGGCATCTTTTCGCAAAGATTGTTTTTTGTAAAAATAGTGAATTATGTCAGGGATCGGCATAAGATTTATCATTTTTTTTTTTTTTGAAAATCAAGGTAACACTATAATGATAGAAAATGTTTGGTCTGAGATGTTTAATAACTGAGTTCTATTTTGTCTGTTATTAGCAATTTTTTAAAATTTGAATTACAATGTTTAAATTTATAAAAGACAAAGACATTGTGAAATTTGAATTCTGCAATTAATTAATCAAAAACTTTTTATTATGGGGAAAAGAAGCACGGGGGATAAAAACAATTTATTTTTATGAAGCGATGATCAACAGACGCGTGTCTTGATAATTTAGTCGCAAATATTTCAATATATGCGATGATTGATTTGTCTGTCGCTGGCGCAGTATATTGAGTATATTGATAAATTTCGCGAGTGAATGAAATATAATGGTAAGAGAGGTTATTGTTTATCGATAATTATGGGCATACTTTATAAGTAATACTATAATTGGAAAAGTTCTCTTGCAGAAATTTTTTTATATGGGGGTGATACAGGAGATATAGATATGCAAATAATATTAGTGATGTGCACCTGGAAGATTTGGAAGCACCCTTTTGGAAGGGTTCGAAGCATAATTCTCTAATAAATTCATTTGGGGTGTAAGAAACTTTTAGTTAACAATATTATCAATAAAAACAAATTATCTGTAAAAATTCAGAGAGCAAAGAAATAATATAGTGCTGGGACTCGCATTAAATGGCCTAGGACGCGTACTCCCTCCCTATTTGATAGCATCATACATTTCATTCTCTACTCTAGATTTTTTTAACTTTGAAAAAAATATTCACCCATAATAATACATACATTTAATGTTTTGCAAATTTCAACCACGCGACAAAAAATCTCCTTTCTAACCATATGGGAGGCGTCAGTAAAAAGGGGGAAATCTGAAATTTTCGCACTGTGATCAGTCCAGTGGACCAATTTAAAAAAAAAAAATTTATCAAAATTTAGATTTCCCCCTTTTTCTATTAACTGCCGCCCATATCTCAAAATTAACCATCGTTATCCGACTACTATGCTCATTAAAGAAGATATACGACAGAAGGCAGCTAAACTGTACGAGGACTTTCAGGTGATTTATTGTATATATAAATAAATAATACATGTAGGATAGGATTGTATGCATAATTAGACGACTATTTGTTGCTTTTTGTTTTTACAAATCTGAAGAAAAAACAAAGTTGTTGGATTGAGACAGAGACTATTTGTCAGCTGAAGATCGACTACTTGTCTATTCTTCTCTTTGGTCTCCTGTAGCACAACTAGGGACTATTTGTTACCGGTGTTGGACTTTTGTTCGCTATGGCCTTTACGCTTTTTAAAACTACGAGATTTAATATTTGCTTATGTATTATTGGCCAAATTTAATCATTTCTTTCATGTTTCACGATAGCAGACATGGAAATCCTCACGAACAACGGAATATTTCAAACAGCTTGAGATTCGTTATCAGACAAAACGGAAATTGGAAGTGATTGAAAGTCAAAAGATTATTGAGCTCGCCGAAATCGACCGAATGAAGGTACTTTGTTTTTTCTTTTATACACGACTTTCTAATTATAGTATGCTATCTATACTAATATTTTGATATGTATATGCTACAGGTTTCTCAATTACGGAACAATACAGAATCAGTAACAAAGCATGTTTCTGATAGCTTTGTGGAATTTACTCAAGAAAATACAAGAAACCATAAACGCACATTAGAAGATGATGAAAGTAGCTTTAGTAAGAACACATCTAATCTTATAGAGGTTCATTCGATACATTTGACCAATCTACATATTAAGAAATGGGAAAATCGAAAATTCACAACAAAAGGATTTTACAGTAAAGTGTGCGTGCTGTTGCGGGTATTAGATTTGTTGTTGAAAAAGCAAAAGCCTGTGAGTTTTTTTTTTTCGTACGATTTTTAAAGAAAAATATACAGAAAATCAATAATCTTTCTTTTGATGACAGGATGATGAAAACGCGGGTTATGCCATGAGTTCGAAATTTTCTTCTGCGCAGTGGAAAGAAATAAATGAAAAAATTAGATCTTTAGTATATCAACTTCAAATTAATCTTTTGCATGAAATTTGTCTGCAATTTTATTTAATAATTAAAAATTATTATTATTTGTAATATTTTTAAATATTTTTAAAGATAAATAAATATATAATAAATTATTATAAAAAGTTAATTTTTTTTTTAAACTTATATGGGTTGATTGCTAGGAAAATCAAGTTCCGGGAATTTTTTAGCAAAATTTTGATTTTTATTGCATTTTAGTTTTTGATATTATTAGATTACAATGTATTAAGCTCTTATTTGTCAAAAATTTCTCGGAACCTGATTTTCCTAGAAACTCCCATATATCTTACTTCTATTGATCTCAGAAATATAAAATATAATCATTTAATAGGTCTTAATGAGATGAATTCAACAAACTAAATTTTATTTTTTTGATTATTAATAATAAGTTATTTCAAAAAATTAAAAAATTGATAAATATTAATAATTACTAATTTAAAAATACTATCATTAAATACATCTTAATATAACAAATCTAATAAATTTTATTTCATCTTTTTATAATTTCTAGATATTAAATATTATAATTTTTCTAAAATATTTTATAATCAATTTTATATCTACAATTTAAAGGATAATATAATAAATATATTTTTTATTAATTATTTTACTTAACTTAACTATTATAATTTATTTAAAATAAATATAATTTTATATTAATTTATAATAATCCTTAAACTTATTAATAAAAATTTTAAATTATAATTATTATAACAATTATTTTTAAATATTATTATTATATACTATATTCTTCTAAAAAAAGACATAATTTTGTTATAATGTTACTTATTTTTAGATAGTTAAATTTTTTTTAATATATAGTTAAAAATTTAATAAAATTGAATTAACATGACTATAACATAATCATTAATCATTTAATATGCATTATATATATTGTAAACTGATTTACGAACTTATTTTATGCCAGTTTATTACATCAAATATAATAAATAAAAAATGCTAATTATTTCAATAATCTTTGTAAAGAATAGTATACTTGGATAGTAAGTGAAAATACTGGAAAAATTGCTATAGAAAATATTTGCTGTGCTAAATTGAATTATGTATACTTGTTGGTAATATTTACTTAAAAAGTAATCTATAATAAAACAATTATATAATCTTTCAAGACTTGTAAAATTTTAACTAATTTAAATGAATTAGTTTCTAAATTTGAAATTAGCAATGATGATAGAAATAGTGTTGATAGTGATAATGATGATGATGATAATATTAGTAGTAATGATTATAGTAATAATGATAGTAGCTATAATAGTAATAACAGCAAAGTTGTTAGTAGTAGAAGTAATTAATATGTTTAATTGTATTAAAATTTTATGATTAATATGTATATTTTATAATAATAACAAAAGTAATTATTTTATAAAAATTCATTAATAAAAAATATTTTTTTAATTATTTGAGTTTTATTTTATTATTTAAAATGTTCTTATTATATTATATATAGTTTTAATGTGAAATTAATTAAATATTTAATATGTTGCTTATTTTTAGGTATTGTTTATTTTAAGAGTTGCTTATTTTTGAGATTGCTTATTTCAGAAAAATATGATACTTTTATTTTTATTTAAATTTATTTTAAAAATATTTATATTATAAATAAAAAACAAAATAAACCTCACAAATTTATTATTTATATATTTTACAAATACTTTTATTTTATAAAAAGCTTTATTAAAATTTTAATTTTATAAACAAAGTTCAAAAAACAAAACAAATTACCTTTTAAAATTGCTTTCATTATATTTTTAATATAAAACAACCTAAAAATATTACTTTTAGTTCTATAAATAAAATTAATAAAAACATTTTTCTAATAAAAATATTATTATTAAAACTTATAATAATAAAATACCCTTTATCTAATATTTTAAATAAGAATAAATATATTGCTATTAAAAAAATACTATAAATACTGAAATAATAACTTTATTATTATCATTTATCTAATACTATTTACTTATATAATAATTATTTCTAAAAATTAGAGAACTATCTATTTCTTCTATTATTTTTATTATTAAAATAATTAATGCAAAATTTGTCTAAAATAACACTTTTAAGATAATTAAAGTAAAATAAATCAATCTCATCAGATCTGTAATTTTATATTTTGATAACAAAAATGCAATATTTTAAAAAGAATATACCCTTCTTAATTTTTTCAAATACAGAGGGTGGACAAAAGTTTCTGAACACTTTTTCACCAAATATAAAACTTATAATTCCTTAGCATTAATAGTAAAAGTTCTAATATTATTTTATTTAGAGCTGGTTAAGGCATACATTTCATATTAAATTTTTAGTACTTGGTTGGGCCTCAATCATAGTCTGAATTCGCTATGATATGCTATTGACTAAATTTTTAATAGTATGCATCAGAATTTCTCACTATGCTTTTTTAACATATCGGTCGAGATCAGCAAGATTCAATGGTGGTTTTTAAATATGCACAAATGTTTTTTTTAATATCAGCCCATAAATTTTCAATTGGGTTAAGATCAGGACTTTGGGCTGGCTAAGTAAAATATAGCTTCGCGTTATTCTTTGATTAATTCTTTATTTTGTCTTATTATTTTTCAATTTGGTAGAAATTAAGCGAATTAAATCAAAACAACAAAAAAAACACGAATTTTTTTATTTTGATTATGTAAATAAATAATAGACAGTTATATGACCACAGTATGGTATCACAATTATATGATGAAAATTTTTTAAATCACATTTATAAGGGTGTTCGGAAACTTTTTTCACCCTCTGTATCATAATATTATTAGCTTTTATATACAAATATAAGACTTATAATATGTATATATTATATATAAAAATCTTAATATATTATATGAGAAGCGGTCAGTAAAAAAGGAAAAAATCTACTTTTTAGTCAAAAATTTTTATTGGTTTACTCTGCTAATCATGATTATATAAACAAAATTAGTTTAATAACTAAAATTACTCAAAATTTGTAGATTTCCTCTTTTCTATTAACTATTCCTATATTATTTTAAATATAATAGTCTTGATATTTATATAATAATTGCATTCAAGTATATCCACCTTTCTCATTCTTAAAAAAATTAAATAAAGAAATGATATTCATATCAAATTAACTAATCTTTCAATAGAAGGATTTCTAAAAAAAATCAGGTTTTAAGAAATTTTTGACTAAAATTAAGAGCTTAATGCATTTTAATCTAATAACATCAAAAACTAAAATGCATAAAAATCTCAATTTAATTAAAAAATTATCATAACCTGATTTTTCTAACAATCAACCTATATAATACTTTTAAACATAATATTTATAATATTGATATTTACAACTAAAGTTAAAGTAATATATATTCCTTACTCTAATAACTATAAACTCAGACTTTTTGTCATTTTTTAATTTGACTTTATTAATACCTTAAATAATATTATTAAAATATATATACATTTAATAATAATAAATTACAATGATATTTTACTAATATCAAATGCTATAATAAATGTAATTTTACTAAACATTTGATCATAAAATATTCTTTAATCAAAAAAGTTAAAAGATAATAAAGAACCTGAACTAAAACAATTTTATAATAGATATAAACTTGTTAACATCTGATTTTTAATTATTAAAAATAATAATAATAATAATGCAAATACTTTTTCAAACTTAATTTACTTAAATATAGTTAAAGAAAGAATAGAAATGTAATATCTACAAGTTATTTTATTAATAATTCTATTAATAACTCTAATAAATATAAAGTAAATATGCTAATTATATGATATTTTATCTAATTATATTATAATTTATGATAAGAAAATATGATAATAAACGTGAGAAGTATGAATAATAAACTATTATAATTTAATAAAATATTTTATTATATTATATAATGATTTTATTATAACTACTAAATAATAAATGTCTAAATATATTTATATTATTCTTAAATTTATACTTAAATAAAATTTTATGTTAATTAATTACTTTTTTAATTTAATTAGATAATAATTTTAATATAATAATAAATGTAATTAATTAGTAATTTTTAAATAAATTATTATTAAAAAAAATTAAAAGTTTAAACTCATATATCTTTCTATTTATAAATTTTAAAATATAAAAATACTACTTTTAATAGGTTTTAATGAGATTAATCCAATAAACTAAATTTTATTTTTAAATATTATTATATAATAAGCTATTTTTAAAAAATTATTAATTTTAAAAATTTTAAAATGTTATTATATATACATTTTAATATGACAAATCTAATAAAATTTTATTTCATCTTTTTATAATAATTTGATATCAAAATGGTTTAAATATTTTATAAACAATTTTATATTTATCATTTAAGGGATAATATAGTAACTGACAAGTTAAAAAATTTTATAACTTTAATTATGAATAATTTAAAAAACAAGATTAAAATTGCTATTTTTATGAGTACTAAATTTGAAACATGTATATTCTTGAAGAAGTGATACCGATACTAAATAATATAATAATGCATTTATATTTATTTTAATAAATAATTTTAATAAGATTATAATAAATTAGATATAAGTATTAAATTATGAATTTAAATAAAAAGAATTAATATATAAAATACTAATAAATTCTTTCATATTAATATTTTAAAATTTTTTATATTGGATTATATTATTACAAATCATTTAAGTTTGATTAAGATTCTTATATATGACATTCTTTAAATGATTTATTATATATGAATTGAATATAATTCATTTAAATTTATGAGTAAGCATCATATAAATTTATTTCATTTGTAAAAGTATTTACATATTTACAATTAATATTAATATAAGAAGCTTTGATTTTGTAAATACTATGCCGATACATCACTTTAAAGATTATCGAAAGTCAAAAAATTAGCTCAACCACTGATTAATTTTAACCGACATTAAACAAGATTTCTCTTATATCTGAAATAAATTAATTTGAAATTCGGATCTGTTAATTCTAATTTAATTCTTGAATACGGATGTAAATAGTAAATCGAAACTTTAAATCGGATTGCAGCCAAAATATATAACCTGGATTGTAAAATCGAATTAGCAACTTAAATCAGATATGTTTCCAAATAATCGGATTGAATCTCTACTAAATGAATTAAATTCCGGATTGAGTTATCCATACCTTAGTTAAGTACCAAATGCTTGAGAAAGGCACAATAATTATGTATCAATTATTTTTTCAATTAATCGTTAATAAATTTGACATCCTGTTTTTTCAGGTAAAATTTTTTAAATTCTTAAATTAAATCATCTACTTTCAATGTATTTGTATCTTTTGCTGAAGTACGTGGGTGAAGTCATGTGTTTAATGACCCTACTTTTACACTTACATCGACCAATTTTTGTTATAACAACACATCGTTTCGCACATAAAGCGACTAAAATTGCCGAACATTCGCTATTCTCAACGATTGGGTGTATTCAAAATTCATTTGAATTGGATTAAATTTTTTAATCCAAAGTAAACTCCACGATTGAGATTGGGTATAAAATCCAATAAAATCCAATACATGTATCATTGTTTCTTCCAATGCCTTTTTTTCTAATTCTGAAAGGAATGAATAACTAATAAAGCAAAATATCTTTTTATCATTCATGAATGATAACCCACTTCTGATATTAAATCCTGAAATGTAATGAAGTTTAAACTTGTAAAATTGAGATTTAAAGAATTTATTCAATTAAAAATTGACAATTATTTTCATCACAAATCATCACTTTTTAGCCCTTATTTTTCTTTGAAATGGATTTAGCGATGTCACATAAAGAAGCTGCTAAACCAATAACCTGAAGTTCACTTTCAGTTCCGGATTTGATAATTAACTCGGTTTTAGAAATTTCCATTAAATATTCATTATAATAATCTTCTTCAATATCTTCCTCAGAAGCAGATTTCATAAGTTTCAGCATGGTTTGAACGATATCCAAGGCGGAATAACCTTCGCCACATAATTTACTTACAGCATTAAAAACATTTCTCACTTCATAACGTATGCAACGTTTAAGCAATTCCATTATATATTTGGGATCCGGTACATCACACACTTTGTAAACGTTATCTTCATTGACCATGCCAAATCCAGAGTAAGTAGATTGAAGGTTATTAATACCTTGCCTCATATCTCCATCTGCTGTAAATATGATTGCTTGTAAACCTTCAGGAGTATATTTAACATCTTCTTTTTCTACTATATATAAAAGACGTTTTGCAACTTCTTCGTCTGATAAATTTGAAAAAGATAATTTCGTCACTCTGCTCATAATTGCTTCATCAATTTTATCATCATTATTACATGCTAACGCGAATCTCGTAGTGTCAGAATAATGTTCCATAATTGCTCGAAGTGCTTTTTGTGCCGCATCCGTCATACTATCAACTTCATCCAGAATTATAAATTTTTGTAATCCGGGAGGGAGTGTGACCTTTGTTTGAGCGAATGCCTTAACCTTTTCTCGAATGATATTAACAGATCTATATAGTTGGTTTTCGCATAATAAAGAAAGCAATTTTAGCAAAAAATACTTTGTAGTTGACCTTTTGTTGCAAGAATAACTCTCGTTAACAAGGAAAAAAAAAAAATCTCCCAAGTAATTAAAAGTTTATATTACATTTACACTACCTCTCATCAGATGCATTAAGTTCTAAGATAGCTTTTTTGGCTAGTTCCTTTCCATATAATTCATTAGCGAGGCAAACAATGCTACTAGTCTTACCAGTACCGGGAGGTCCTGATAATAAGAAGTTTGGTATGTTCCCTCTTTTAGCAACGTTCTTCAATATATTTATTGAAGGTTCATTTCCAACTATATCGTCAAACACGGCTGGACGATATTTTTGGAGCCTATTTACCGTATATATTGTTAAACCAAGAAGTTACAAAAAAACACGCGTCATTTATAACATTAGATTACCATGGAAGATCTGTTATTGCTATGTTTGTTCTTGAGCTAGTGGACATTTTTCCTAAACCCTTGAACAAGTTGATATGAATTTAGTTGTTTAAAAAAAACGCGACGATGATCATTAATCCAAACGGATGTGTGGCTCAGTTCTTTATTATCTCACTGTGGCGTTTTACAACTTTGTTTTTCTCCCCTAGATGAATAATAATAATCCAATTGTTATAACATAAAAATTTGACATTTTAACATTTTAATATTAAATTTTATTTTTTTTTTAGTTTTATAAATGTATAATTGATGATGAATTTTAATAAATAAAATTGTAGTTACGGAATGGAACAAAAAGAAATAAAGGAGGAAAATACATAATAAAAAAAAGTTACTAATTAGTAACACCAAAACCAATAGCACTCATACTTAAAGCAGAGAAATATTTCGTGTGCAACTTGGTTCCTTGATCATCGCCAGCAACGCCTGCTGCAATATGTAAAGGAACCAAATGATCATCGGTCGGATGAGCTTTTCTCAATAACGGATGATTAATTAAATCAATTAATTTTTGATCACGTTCTTTCCCAGTAAATTTGGTACATAATTTTTCAATATCCGATTCAAAGGGTCCAACATATGGAGCTACAAAGTCTTTTTTATCTAACGTAGCGAATGTCTCTCTCAAGTTATGAACTAATGATCCAGATCCAATGATAATAATTCCTTCATTCCTTTAAAGTCGAAAAAAGGAAAAAAAGAATTAAATAGGATTTTTTAGAATCAGATAAGCTAAAATAACTTTTTTAAGCCTTACCTAAGAGAAGCCAATACGCGACCAACTTTAATGTGATGTTCGTAAGAAGCTTTACGAGTAAGAGATACTTGTATAATAGGCAAATCGCCGGGTTCCGGGATCGCCACTTTTAATGGTATCCAACAACCATGGTCGAATCCTCTCTTATCATCCAATTCTGATTGGAAACCAGCCTGAATTAATTAAGGCGTAATTTAGCTAAGTTACGAGAATATAAAGTGGTAAAGTCCGTTCGATTATTTTTACGCACCTGATTTAATAGATCCACGATTCTCTTTGCTAATACTGGAGAACCTTTACCATCATATGTTTGTTTATAAAGTATCTCTGGGAATCCATAAAAATCATAAATGATGGGAGTTTTGCCAGAAAAGTTTGTTACTCTGATAGCTTCGGTGGTTTCCCAATGAGCAGAAAGAACAACTATAGCTTTTGGTTTAATTTCTTTGATAATTGATTTTCCCCATCGTTGCATCCATTGATAAGATTCATCCTCCTTGTCTATCACGAGTGTTGGACCTTAAATCGAGAAAAATGTGGATCAATCTAGTAATTCGATGAATTGTTGAATTGTTGATATAAAAGATAACGATCATAATTACCTCCGTGAGAGATATAATAACATGGCATTTTGGTAGTAGACATTTTAATCAATTTGTTTATTTCAAATTTAATGGTAAAGGAATGCTTATTTATAAGTCACCTAATTCTTGTAAATCATCATTATTATTAATTCGACTCGATAATTAATAATTTTGCTTATTAAAAGGGATCACCCGCATTAATTCGGTTTAATCCGGTTTTGGACTTGATAACCCGAGTGATAAATTAGGAAACAGTTTCAATCTCGTCATATAACGTTAATTAATAATCAATGACGATAAAATGATCGATCTCAAATTGGTTACAATGAAAAAAATAAGAGTAACTATTTTGAAAAAAACAAAATGAGATCAATAAATTTAATAAATTTTAATTTGAATAAATTGCATTTATAATATAATGATTTTTATATTTTTTTTTTATATTAAAATCTTGGATTCGAATATTAAGAAATGATAATCGCAATTAAATAGATTCTCAAGTCGATTCTAAATATCAATATCAATTTCAATCTTACTTCAGATGTGACTTGACAAATAACTCAGTTTGATAGTTTGATACTCACCTTATTAATTTGTTTTGAACGCTGTAACAAATTTTTTTAGATATAAGTTTACAAATCTTATATAAGTTAATTAAATAATATATACTGATATACTTTGCATAAATTTATAATAATTATTTTTTAAAATTATATATAATTAAATACTTTTTATATAATTTGTAAATAATAATAAAATCATAAAAAATGTTTTAAAAATAAAATATTAATTATATATAAAAATCATTTTATTATATTTGATTAATAATATATATTAATTAAAATAATTTAATTTAATTAGAAATATATTAATCAATTTTATTATTATATACTATAAATTTATATTTTTACTATAAATTTATAATAAATTTATAATACAAACTTATTAAAACTCATAATCTTTTAAATGTAAGTTTATGTTTGTTATAATCTTTATCATTTTATTATATAATATAATATATTTCATAATATAAAAAATATAATAAATAATATAATTTAACTAATGTTATATAAATAATATATTTAATATTTATAATATAATTGACATAATTTATATATTTAATATAGTAAATATATTAATTTATTATAAAAATTAAATATATTATTATATAAAATTATTTATTTAGATATAATACTAAAAATTTAATGAAGAAATATTATATCATAACTAAAATAATTATATAAGTCTAGAAATATGTAATGTAAATATATATATATATTTTTAAGAACTTTTTACATATATTATGTAGCACATATTTTATAAAAAATCATATAAAATGTATATATACAATTATATCAAAAAGTAACATCTGATTTAAATTATATATAAAATTTATTTTTTAGATCTTATAATTAAAATAATTGCATTTTATTCTTCCTAAAATTAAATATATTTTTTTAAAAAATATAACTAATTAGCTATAAAATTATAAAAAATTTATTAAAAAAAATAAAAATATATATACAGCTTGAAATTATCTATTTTATATGTATAAATTTTTTTTTGAAACTAAAATATATAGAAAAAATCTTTTGTGCATTATGATTAAAAATAATTTATGCATTTAAAATTTTTCACAAATTAAAACCTTTTTTAAAAAAATATAACCAACTGATTTTAAATTATATAAATATGTTAAATAATATCATTATATTTTGTTATAATTTAAAAAAATTGATTTTGTATCAAAGTATAATTTTTTTTAAAATTTTATTTAATTAAATAATAATAATTATAATAATATTAAAAAAATATATATTATTTATTAAATAAATTATTTGATATTAATGATAATTTGATAATATTTTTTTAATAATAAAATAAAAAATAAATAAAAAAAATTTTATATTATTATTATTTTAAATATTATAACTATTATATATTTTCAATTATTATATAATTTATATACTAAAATAAAAGGTATTAATAAAAATATTAACCTTCTAATAATTAAAAAATATATATATATAAATCTAAAAAATTATATTTTCTTATATTTTATAATTTAATTAATAGTTTGAAATATTCAAATTTATAAATCTTTTAAATCATTAGTTATAAATTTAAACAAAATTTACTATTAAAAAAAATATATATAATCTAAATTACTTTATAAATATTAAAAAAATCACAAATATAAATTTACGGTATATGTAGGATTATATAAGTTTAATATAAAGTTATATAAGATTATATAAAATTTACAGGTCTTTATAAAGTTACATTGCACTTTATAAATTTTACTTAAATGTAAAATTATATAAATTTATATATGCAGTTTATAAAAGTTTGTATAGGCTTATATAAAATTGCATAGAAATTTTAATTTTATATTATTACTATTTCAATTATTAAAATATATATTGTATTTAGTCCGTTCAGATTGAGGAATCGAATTAAAAAATAGAAAATATATTTGATATGGTAAAATCGGTAGATATTGATAAAATCTTAAGGATTTCGCATCGTTTAAACATCTATTATCGTTGATTTCTAAATAATTATAAATCACGTGATAAACTCGGGTTGTACACGTCATTATTGCAGAAAGTTATAAAATCGCTCATCACATCCTTTTGCTTTTTCTTTTTTTTTTAAAAAAAATGGATAATACTTTTATATTACCAAATAAGGCAGTTCGAAAATCTAGATATCGTAAAGGGTATATAAAGAAACAAGCTAAAAACATTGATCGAAAAGAACATGAAAATAATAAGAATGTGTCTTTTAATCAAATAGATTATGTTGGGGTTACTTATGAAAATTACAATAGGAAATCATACAAGAAGAATAAGGAAGTTGATAAAGTATGGTTTAGTGGAAGAACTAAAGCGAATACTAAATTTAATAAATTTTTGGTATGCATTAAAATGAAAATCTTTTTGTAACGATTAATTAATTAATTATTAATTATGTTTTTACAGGTTGAAGGGGTTGAAGGGGTTGAAGGTAATAGTATGAATGTTAACATTGGTAATTTTAATGGAGATTGTTCGGAAGAAATTCATACATCATTAGAAACGTGATCTGATCGTGTAACAGACAATAAAAATGTTGAAAAATTATGACTCATAAATTGATTATGACTCATATGGTACAATCTACTTTATAAGACCAATTAAGTTACACGGCGAAATTTTCTTTCAACCAATATTTTCCTTTTGATCAATCTTTTTTTTTTTTTTTTAAGAATTCTAGCCTATTTTTTTTTCTTTTTTTGGTTTTCCTCGATTTATATAAAAAGTCAACTATGTCAGACGCAGAATACGATCCAAACGATCAAAAATTGGAAGAAGAAAAGAGTGAAGAAGAAGTATGTTTCAAATAAATTTATCTAAGACCATGGTGAATTTTATTATTAACTTTTTACTTTCATATTAATTAGTTGCTGTTTGATCCTAGTCTGAAAAAGAAAAAAAAGAAAAAGAAAGCTGTAGTTTTTGAGGATGAAATAGAAACCAAAAAGGACACTGAAAATCAAACAGAAAATGGTGATAAATCAGGTATGATAGATATGATAGACTTTAGTTTACGTTTTTGGACGCAATTCAAACTTATATACTAGTTTTTTTAATTTGATCTACTCTTTACTATAGTATCAGCCGAAGGTAATGATAATGAAGAAGCAAAGGCAGAAGATGATGATGACATTTCAATATTTGCTGATATGAAGAAAAAGAAAAAGAAAAAAAAGGAAGCAACAGATGTATATAAACATTTTGTATTTTTTGTTTTTAATTATAATTATTTTCATGATGATTTACCCGCGTATAATTCCGGATTTGTAAAAGGCGGAAGAAGAACCCCCAGTAGAACCTTCTGATGATTTACCAAAGAAAAAGAAGAAAAAGAAGACAGATATGTTAGAATTTGAGAAACAATTAAAGGAAGGTGAAGAAAACGAAAATCGGCAAGAAGATGAAATATTTGTTGTGGAAGGTGAACTAGATACCAAAGAAATTAAGATTGAAGAAACCTGGCTCAGTTCAGATCGAGATTATACATATCAAGAAGTATGTATAAATTATATTTTTTTTGCTAATTACGTTAATCTTTATTAATTTTTTATTTCCATTAATGAATTATTTAATTAATTATCATATAGCTTTTGGGCAGAGTCTTCCAAACCCTTCGGCAAAATAATCCTGAACTTGCCGGTGAAAAGAAGAGATACACGATCGTACCACCATCAGTTCACCGTGAAGGAAACAAAAAGACAATATTTGCAAACGTTGCGGACATTTGTAAGAGGTAAGTTTGAAGTTAAATTTTTTTTTCCCGGCTACAACTTTATTTAGTATTTTAATCCTTATTTACTACAGGATGCACAGACAACCTGAACACGTAATTCAATTCTTATTTACTGAATTGGGTACAAGTGGTTCGATCGATGGTTCACAACGTCTAGTCATCAAAGGTCGCTTTCAACAAAAACAGATTGAAAACGTATTGCGTCGATATATAGGTATGCATTTTCGAATGGTTCTATATTACAAAATTTTTTATGATTGAAAATGATAAACTAAAATGATACAATTTCATTAAGTTGAATATGTTACTTGTAAGACCTGCAAGTCTCCTGATACAATCCTTACCAAAGAAAATCGTATTTTCTTTCAGCAGTGTGAAAGTTGTGGATCAACGAGATCAGTTTCAGCAATTAAGTCAGGTACGCCATTTTTAATATTTTACTATTACAACCTTAAAGTGGTGAAATTCTTTCTTAATATCTATTATTACTTTTTCCATACCCGATACACAGGTTTCAAAGCACAAACGGAGAAGAGAAGACGACAAGTTGCCCAATAATAATAATAATAATAACCATATTTTTCGGCATTTCTAAATAAATTCTTCCGATCCACTCAAAAAATTTTTTATTATCATTTTTAATCTCCTACTTTATTCATTCTAATCCAATTTTCGTTAGTATTTTAATTGATTTTAAAAAAAAAATGGGTAAAATCATGTATATATAATTATCAAATTTTTGATTAAAAAAGGTCACACTTAGAAAGGGTTGGATCTGGCGGAGTTAGAGAAAGTAGAGAAAGGAATAGTCAAATGGTGATGATAATAAAATTGTCTCATAGAGCTACAAGTTAAGACATGTGATTTTATTGAACTATCATTGTTAATCAATAATATTATTATCATATTACATACAAAACTGAATGGATAATTTTGATATACGATCCTCGCAAATTCTATACTATTTTTAGAGGAATAAAAAAAAAAATTTCCTAAAATCAACTTTATTATCCAGAAAAGTTTATTTCAATCTGATAATAAATTTTTTAAAGTTATCTTAAAACGTTCCTGTTTGATTCGCTTATTACCGTTTTTGATGTAGATCTTATTCAATTACAATATAATTATAAAGAATTTTTTTGATCTACAAATTTTCCCGGAAAAATTTTCTCTCTTTACATAATCAATTTCTTTTATATATCAAAAAAAAGGTACAAATACCCTTACTTCATTTAATTGATTTTACCCTTGCCTTTCAAAGGCCATAAAAATTGAAATATAAAACGATTAATGAAAGTTGGTAAGAATTATATAATGAAACTCGATGAAATCATATTTAAACATTTTTTAATAGCATCAATTTCATCGATACTTTCTTTTAATAAATTTGAAGCCTGCCTACAGTTTAATCCAAAAATTGGTGAGGTTGAAAGGAATCAAAACTTCGCATCTAGCATACTGGAGAAGTATGTTTCTTTGATTTTAAACAAAGATCCTTAATCCATTTTTTTTTTTTTTTTTGATTCATATTTGAAATTCTTGATCTCAAATTAGATATCAACCGGAAGATATAGATATTTTGATTCTTCCCGAATTGGCCTTCACCGGTATATATAAAATTATCTTACTAAATTCTTCAAACTAATATTAAAAAGATATATTTTTATATTAGGTTATGTTTTTAATGATAAGGATCATATTAAACCGTACTTGGAAGACTCGGAAACAGGAACTTCTGTTAAATGGGCCAAAGCGCAATGTTAGTTTTAACATATATAAATAAAATAAATATGTATATTTATTTATCCGAAATTTTTCTTTTTTTTTTATCAAGCTATTAGATTACGTGCATTCACCGTAGTTGGATATCCGCAAATCGTAAAAGGTAACAATTAACAATAAAATTTTTTTTTTATCGATTACATTATAACAGAAGTTTGCATAATCATCGATTCCATTAATAGGAAATCCAGATAAATGCTATAATAGCTTGTGTTTTGTCAACCCTTATGGCGAGCTTATCGAAACGTATCAAAAAACTCATTTGTACGAAACAGACGAAAGTTGGGCCGAAGAAGGTCCTGGATTTAAGTCAATAAACGTCCCTGGCCTGGGAAAGGTATGTTTCTTTTATAAATTGTAATAGCATTATGAAAATAATGTTAAGGAATCCAATTTCTTGTAACAGATCGGTTTCGGCATATGCATGGATCTCAATCCGTATCAATTCAAAGCTAGCTTTACCAAATATGAATTCGCTCGTTATCATATTCAACATCAAACAGAAATTATATTATGTCCAATGGCCTGGATTAGATCCGAATATAGTCAACAAATAAATGTCGATAAGCCGGAATATAGAACCGTAAATTACTGGTGTGATCGATTATCACCCTATTTAACAAATTCAGGACCTAAACGTAATACGCTATTCGTTGCGTGTAATCGTACAGGAATAGAGAATGGTTTGCAATTGGTTTAATATTATTACTTTCCCTAACTTTCACATTTATCATTTTGTTAAATCTTAAAAATTTCGATTCTCTTGTTAAATGTAGGTATTTGTTTTGCGGGAAGTAGTAGCGTTCTACTATTATCCTCCGAGCACCCAATTGTGTTGGATTCGTTGAAATCTAATGAAGAAGCTGTTATGGTGGTTGACGTGCCACGCTTGTAATATCCGATATTAGTGTTTTCCTTCTTTTTATTATCTAAGTTTATAAGCAATTATGTTCTTATTTATTTAGCTGAATTTCATAGATAAACAAAATTTATATATATATATTTTTTCCCTGTTTATTATTTTTTTTTACTACCTACCTGTTTGTTCGAAATTTATTATTATTATTTTTTATTTTTTTTTTACTGACTACCTGTTTGTTCGATATTTGTTATTATTTTTTCTTTATTTCCTACCTGTTTGTTCGATATTTATTATTATTTTATCTTTTCTACCTACCTGTTTGTTCGATATTTATTATTATTTTTTCTTTACTACCTACCTGTTTGTTCGATATTTATTATTATTTTTATTTTTTACTACCTACCTGTTCGATACTAACTATATGTATTATTTTTTTCTTTTTACTAGCTATCTATTGTTCGATATTTATTATTTTTTTTTTAAATTATATGCCATTATTTATTTTTGTACTTTATTTTTTATATATTGACTCTCCCACAATACTCCCCTGTCTTTGTTTTATATAGGTTATATAAACATAAATCTAAAAAAAATGGTTAAACATACCTTTCTCAATATTTTATTTCTGCATTATCTGTGAAATTTTTTACATCTTGCTTTTCACCTTTGAATTGTATAAGATGATAATAAATAACACATTAAAAATTTTTATTCATATTTCCCGTTGCGATGATACATCTGTAATATTAAAGAATGGATTTATAATTTTTTAAAGACAAGTTATAGCTCAAATAATGATAATATACGATACTTTTGTTCACGAACTCGAGGGTCAATTTTCTTCTTCTTGTTATCAATTCAGATACGGAATTAACTTCCTACGACATAAAATTTAAATTTTTATCGTTATATGTATTAATTCAGATATTGGATCATCAGACATGCCGAATTTCTTTATGAAGTTACGAATTTAAATACAAGATGAAATAAGAAAATTAGATAAAAGCACAATAGGCACAAAGATTTACTTTTTTTTTTCATTTCGATTCATTAAAAACGAGCAATGTTACGTGATTTTTTTACTATGAACTTGAGGTACCATAAATTTTCACTACACTTGACCATGTAAGTTTGTTTTCGTTCAGTCAAATAGGATTCATAGACCTATATTTTTATTAAGCATAAAAATATAATAATTATATAAATTTTAATTATTATCGGCAATATTATTTTTAATATTAAAATTCACTTTGTATTAAAGACAATAAATGTTCCGGTTGTCATAGAAATTTCTAATGAATTATTATTGGATTCAACTAAAAAATGATAAAAGAACATTAGTATAATTTAACTTAAGCTAAATTAAATCATATTTAAAAAGTATACCCTTTTTAGCAGTCATGAAATTATTCAAGTTACTATTTGAAGAATTATATTTTTAATATTAGTTTCTAAATATTAATTGTTAATAAATTTTTTCCTTTATTTATGTATTTTTTGTTTACATATGATTCATTATATTTATTTGTTTTCATTTTTAGTAATTTATCCTTTTTCAATTTGATGTTATGATTTTTGATAATGCATTTCTCATTGATTTAATTTTAGTTTAAAAAATATAAATTATTAATAATTGATTAAAATCCCATTTTTTCCATTATTTTAGCATTTTTAACTATAATTAATATTGATTTTATCATCAAAATTTTGTTATTTACTATTAAGATTATTAATAATTGTAGCATAAAGAATAAATTTTTGATTATATAAGTTATAAATATAATATAAAGAATATCATGTGAATAAAATTTCAAATTATATATGATTATTTTTAAAAGATATAAACAAATATAATATTAAATTTATATAATTGAATAGATTTTTTACTTTATATCACTTTTGTATTATTTTTATAATACTAATTTTTTTTATAATAGATTTACAAAAAAAAAAACTTAAATAAATATTAATTTTCTTAAAAATTTTATATAAAATATTAATATTGCTAATAATTTTATTTTATATATTAATACACTCATTTTAAAATAAAAAATGATATATTAATAATACTAATATCTAAAACTTATTTAATTTATAAAAAATTAAATTTAATAAAATATTAATAAAAATTTTACATTATTAAATAATTTTATTATATAGAAGTTTTCAAACATTATATTATATATTAAATTATTTAATATTAAATGAATTGAATTTATAAAACTTTATAAGTTATCAATAAAAATGCCATTACAATTAAAAAAACGCAATTGAATTGCAACTTATGATACAATTATAATTACTTATGATGTAATTAAATTATAATTCAATGAAAATTTAAAAGCAATTATAAGAATTATCTTTAGTTATAAATATAATGTATACTATAATTTATAAAAATATTATCTAATTTGAATTATAAGTTATCAAAATATTTAATATAAAAAATAAAGTATAAATTATTTTAATTATCTTAATTACTATTTATAATTAATCATATAAATCATATTTTATAAAAACTAATAATTCAAATTAAACTAAATTTATATAATATTAAATCTATAAATATCAATATTTAAGCTAATTTGATTTTACTGTTAATAAGAAATTAATGTAAATTTGATATAAATACTAATATATAAATATATAAAATTTGAAATATTATATATTATATTAATTTTTTAAATATTAGTAATCCAAATTAAACTAAAATTAATATATTTATCTATAGTATAAAAAATTTAATTTAATTTGAATTACTAATTATCATAAAATATGATTTATAAGATTAATTATAAAAAATAATTAAAAATCATTTAAAATTATATTCTTAACAATTTATCAATTCCTTTAAAATAAAAATCTATAGTTGAGAAATCCAATCTCAAGATCAAACTGAACTTATATAAATATTAAATTTTCCTTCTTCTCTTTCATATGACACTTGGTGTTGGTAAACTTATATTAGCATATAAACATTTTGACAACAAAGCAACTCATAATTTTTTGAAGATCAATTTGTTAAATTTCTGTTTTGTGAAAGAGGTCATAAGATCATTGAGATAAACATAAAGCATATTTTCATTTGAATTAACTTTAATAATTTGGTTATTATTATTCACCAGTTTTTTAATAAGCATTCATTCCAACACTTTTCAATCTCTTCTTTGCTAATATTTGCTTCAGCCTCTTTATTATTAAAAGAATATATTTATTAGTTTTATTTCTATAACTCTCATCTAAGTATAAAATAAGCTTATCTTTATCTATTTATTTTATTATTAAGCATTTAGCTACGATCAATGACCAAAATGGTCAAACAGCCATATATTGGCCAAATAATTAAGTATTAATAAATGTATTAATACTTATTAGAATTTGGTTGGCATTTGACTGCAGCCAAGATTTTTTAACATTTTATCTGGCCAAATTGGCCAAATGACCAATGGCTAATACTAATTTATTCTCCATAATATGCATCTAATCAGTTGATAATTTCATAAAGAGTTGTTTAGTATAAGGAAATTCAATATCAAAAAGGCAAATAATATTTTAATTTTTTAAGTACGATTTCATACTTAAACTCGCCAGTACTTAACAAAATTTACACTTAGTTATAGTAAGTGATATAGAAATATATTAGCAGGTATAGTTAAGACTAAGGTTACCTTTGCTTTCAGATTGAGAGAAATGTGATTTCTGCTCTAAAGCTATTATTCCAAAAAAGGTTAAAACACATAACTTAATATAATGTAAATAAATTTGAATGCATTACTAAGTTCTATAATTTCTCGTGTAATATTGGTTGGTACTTCACTAAAATCATAATGTAGGTCTAATATATGGTTAATTATCTTATGAAAATTCAAGGTTGATGCTCTTTTTAGCATGACGTTAGATTTATTTTTCTAAAAAATTATTATATCAGGCAAATTCTTTCTTGCTGAATAAGTATAAAAAAAATAAAAGTTGTTGCTATAATACTCTTGGATGCAAATAAAAGTAAAGTGCATTCAAATACTCAAAGGATGCAACTCTGAGACTTTCAACTTGATGATTAGAATTTAGACTCGATATAGCACTTTAAGCAGTTAATAACAAAACTACAGCAAGATACTTTTTTAGAATCAACTAAGAAATATTCAGATGTAACTTAGCTTGTGCTATGAACCTGAAACTAATAAATAAAATATATATAACAAACAGTGTGTAAAATTCATGTGCACATTAAATTTTTATGTGCACATATTACACAGCATAAAATGTGCACAAATAATTACTAAAAATAGATAAATTATATATAAAAATGGATAAATTATTTATAAAAATGGAAATACTATGTAATACATGCATTAATTTTCTATTTTTAGTACAACTTGTGCACATAACTTTTGGTCCAAATTTTATACACTGACAACAAAACAAAAAATAAGAGTACTAACTCAAATATTGTGATGCTAGCCATTGAACAGATTCACTATCATGAGAATTTAATAACTGAGGACTTTTAGTAAGCTTTTCTAAATAAATCTTATATGTTCTGTATCTTCTTCTTTTTTTTTCAAACTATTTACAAACACTATGTTCCATTGTAAAAATCTATCAGCTTTCATATTTTATCATTCTCAAAGTAAAATATTAGATATATATGTCAAAGTCACATAATTATGATCAGCTAATTAGAAAATGATAGAAGAAATAAGTAAATAAAAGATAAAAAGAAATAATAACTTTGTAGATAATTGAAATGAATTAAATCAAACAACTTTCTTAAATTTTTCGTTTAGTATTATTATTATCCTTTTTAGAAACTGACGTTATAGAAAGTCATCTAAGAATCTGATCAAAAATTCTGGATGGTTTGACTATTATGTAAATATATATTATAGGTGGTGCTTTAGACCAGTAATATTAAAGAAAGAGTATATGTGAATTCTAAGTGAGTTTTAGTATCAAGTTCTTTCTTTACTCTTGAATAATTTTTATAACTAATTTGTTTATTTTATCATTATTGCTAACTACATACATCCTAT